TATTACTATTACAATACCAGAAATATTACTATTGTGAGTTAGCTTGGAGCAGTGCTACCGCTCTCGGCTCTGAGTCAGAAGGTTGTGGGTTCAAGCCCCAAGTTGGGACTTGGAATCACAATGCAATGCTCCACCAATGCTGCAATGGAACACTGCTGGGGGAGCTACGCATTGTCAGAGGTACAGTCCTTCGGATCAGACGTTAAACCAAGGTCCTGTCTGCCTGTTCAAGTGGATATTAAAGATCCCATTGCATTATATGAAAAGAGAAAGGAGTTTCTCTTTCCCAGTGTCCTGGCTGACAATCCCCCACATAAAATTGGTCACTCACTCCGTGGCGGTTTGTGGGATATTGCTATGTGCAAACAGGCTGCAGAGTTTTGCCCATAAAATACAGTCACTGCATTTCACAGTATATTCTGCGGCGCTTTGAACGTCGCTACGATGTGATTGAGGCGCTATATGAAATACAAGAATTATTAATAATAAATTATACAACAATAAAATAAGTCATTATATTATAAATATGATTGCAATGATAATACCAGTAGTATTATTTACTAGTAGTATAACATGGGTGATTATTGCCATTATAACGCAAGGAGTATTCTTATTATCATTATAGCGCAGAGACTATTATTATTACCATTATAACACAAGGGTTATTATTATTACTATTATCATACAAAGCATATTATTATAAGCATACAATGCTGGGTGCTGGATACTGCACACCACTGCATGTCTTGACCACTTCTTGACCACCCAGTCATGTCCTGCAGTCTCTGAACAGAAACCAAAGTGACTCCTCATCACAAACCCATGTTGCTGTCAGGTTTATATACCGAGCAGTTTGATGCTGTCAGGTGATGCCCAGCAGCATACAATATCTGACAGCATCGTTCAACTTCCTCCAAAAAATCTCCCAAATACACCAAAAATGTAAATTGCAAGCCATTTACAAAAACACTGAATTTTTATTATTGTGAAAAAGCAGTGCCAGGCTTGCAACCACCATCGCAACCAATGTCAGCCTGGCTCCGTCGCTTATACTCTCACTTCAGAATCAGGACTTTGTGGGTTCAAGCCCCACGCCAGAAACTTTTGAGCTCAAAGTCCAGGCTGATGCTACAGCAGTGCTGGGGGAGCACTGCATTGATGGAGGTGCCATTCTTCAGATGAGACATTAAAAAGGGGTCACAGGTGGACATTAAAAATTCTGCAACATTATTAGAAAAGCAAAGGAAGTTTCTCTCTCTCAGTGTCCTGGCCAACATTTCACCCAGATGAAATCAGTCATGTTATGGCTATTTATGGGACGTTGCCATGTGCAATTTGGCTGCTGTGTTTACCTACAAAGTACACACTCGTTCTGTTTCACAATACAAATTAAGCGCTTTGAGACATCTCGCTAAGGCGCTAGATCAAACGCAAGGATTTAGTTATTGCTGAGATTATTTATTGCTCATGTTGTGCATTGCTGACTCCTGGTTTCCCTGCATTAATAACCTGACAACCATGACTCCCTTAAAATAGACTGTGAAGCACGAAATGAGGGCTAACATGGGATCACTCGGAGGAGGACAGTGACAGGCACAGGCCTGACAACACCCCCGCTGAAAATCCCAATCTATTTACAGCGGAAAAGAGCTAATGGCATAACGTCTGCACAAAGCAGTTATATGTTTAAGGGTGTTAAGTGTTTAGAGGTTTATGTTATGACTGCAAGAAAAGCGCGCCTGCGATGAAAAGTGACAGAGACCTAATTAAGAACAAGCGAATAGCTCAGTACTTCAATTAGCTGCGGAGAGAGAGGGAAGAGGGTAGAAAGAAAGAGAGAGGGAGAGAGAGAAAGAGTGAGGGAGGGAGGGAGGGAGGGAGGGAGAGAGAGAAAGTTGAAAGGCATGGGAGAGAGACAAAGGGAAAGAGGGAGAGACACAGATATATGGGGGCGAAGGAGAAAGATAAAAGACATAGTGAGAGGAAAGAGATGGAAGGGGGAGAAGGGCGACAAAGAGGGAGGGGAAAGAGAGAGAGAGAGAGAGAGAGAGAAAGCAAGAAAGGAGGGAAAGGGAGAGAAGGAGAGGTAAAGTGCAGACCAGGTATAGATTAAGTGCAAACCAGGCCCTCAATCTTGGGGGAATGTGTGCTCACTCCCTGAACTGAGGGCTGAGAGCACCGAAAGGATTACAAACTGAACCGTTTAACAAACGTTGCACCGCTCAATGAAATGTACTTTTTACAGGAAGAAAACATTGCTCTGCTCGCTGCCTCCTCTGCCCCTTTTCCTTTCTTTCTCCCCCTCACAGCCACTAGAACATCTCCCCCTAAATTTGTATCCACCCACACATCACCCATCAGAGTTGCTGGTCAGGCAGAGAGGAGACAAGGCAATGTGAGAGGATGGGTGGAAGGGAAAAGTGTAAGACAATGTCAGTCCTGTTTGAACACTATGTCTCTTCACCAGGCACTTCAAAAACTGCAACTTGCATTTACACAATGCCCTTCACACAGGTAGCGTCCCAGAGCGCTTAACAGAGGCGGAGCCTGATGCCAAGCTGGGGGAAGGTGACCACAAGCACGGTCAAAGAGGAAGATCTTCAGGCGGGATCTGAAAGTGGGCAAGGTGGATGGATTAAGGCAGGGAGTGAATTCCAAATTTTCGGCGTGGATGGTGGAGTGGGGAGTAAGCTGGTTGGAGAGGTAGTGAAATGCCTGGTCATGAAGATCTTGAAGTTTATCCATTCTGTAGACTTCCCGAACACTCGGATTATAGTTTCCTTCCTCCTCCAACCTGGAACCCATCTAGAATGCGACGGAGATTGCTCACCCCTCGGAAGGTGGGGACAGTGGAGCCGGCAGCCGGAGGAGTGGGGGAGAGGGATGAACTTGTGATCTTCTTCTGTCCCATCTTAATCACTACAGCTCCTTATGATCCTCCATCCCAACCCCCCCCGCCCGCCCGAAAGAGTTTGTTTCTCAGACTTAGAATAGCAACGTGGACACAGAGACAGAGAGCGCGATGTTTATACACACACAGAGCAACACAGAGACAGAGCGATGTTTATACACACACAGAGCAACACAGAGACAGAGCAATGTTTATACACACACAGAGCAACACAGAGACAGAGCGATGTTTATACACACACAGAGCAACACAGAGACAGAGCGATGTTTATACACACAACATAGAGGCAGCACGATGTTTACATACACACACAGCAACATAGAGAGCAATGATTATACACACACAGAGCAACGTTTATATACACACACAGCAACACAGAGACAAAGCAATGTTTATACACACACAGCAACACAGAGAGGAACAGGTCTGTGCAGCCTCGGGCTCCCTGTGTGCTTTCCCCCTCCTCCATTCAGCGGGTTTTGTTCAGGCAGTTACCCCCCACCGCCGCCCATCGATCCCAATCACCGATCAGACAAACGACATCGCACATTACAACAGCGCCCGAACCTTCCAGTTATCACAGCACAGGAGCTCTCTCTCTCTCTCTCTTTCTCCCTCTCTCTCCCCTTCTCTTGTTCTCCCTCTCTCTCTTCCTCTCTTCTTTTTTCCTCCCTCTCCTCGGTTCTCCCTCCCACTCCCTCCCTCCCTCCCTCTCTCCTCCGCCTCCCGTTAGACCCCGCACCCCCAGGGCTGTTGTGTCCGGCACCGGCAACAACGAGGATCAGCCCCGAGCGGCGGAGCCAACCGAGGGCCCGACTGCCATCGGGCTGTGTGTGTGTGTGAGGGAGGGAGGGTGTAGGGTGTGTGTGGGGGTGTGGGGGGGTATGTGTGTGGTGGGGGTTGGAGGTGTGTATGTGTAGTGTGTGGGGTGTGTGTGTGTGGGCGGTGGGGGGGGGGTGGGGGTGTAATGTGGGTGGGGTGTAATGTGTGGGGGGTGGGGGTGTAATGTGTGGGGGGTGGGTGGGTGTGAGGGGGGTGGGGGTATATGTGTCGTGTGTGTGTGTGTGTGTGTGGGGGTGTATAGAGTGTGAGGGGCGGGAGGGGTGTATGTATAGTGTGTGGGGGAGGTGTATGTGAAGTGTGTGGGGGGTATGTGTGTGTACGTGTAGTGTATGTGAGGGAGTGGTGTATGTGTCGTGTGTGAGAGGGTGTATGTGAGGGGAGGGGGTGTATGTGGTGTATGTGAGGGGTGGGGTGTATGTGAGGGAGGGGGTGTATGTGAGGGGAGGGGTGTATGTGAGGGGAGGGGGTGTATGTGAGGGGAGGGGGTGTATGTGAGGGGAGGGGGTGTATGTGAGGGGTAGGGGGTGTATGTGGGGGGAGGGGGTGTATGTGAGGGGTGGGGGTGTATGTGGGGGGTGGGGGTGTATGTGGGGGTGGGGGTGTATGTGAGAGGGGTGTATGTGAGGGGAGGGGGTGTATGTGGGGGAGGGGGTGTATGTGAGGGGTGGGGGTGTATGTGGGGGTGGGGGTGTATGTGGGGGTGGGGGTGTATGTGAGGGGAGGGGGTGTATGTGAGGGGAGGGGGTGTATGTGAGGGGAGGGGGTGTATGTGTGTGTATGTGAGAGGTGGGGGTGTATGTGAGGGGAGGGGGTGTATGTGAGGGGAGGGGTGTATGTGGGGGGAGGGGGTGTATGTGTGGTGTATGTGGGGAGGGGGTGTATGTGAGGGGAGGGGGTGTATGTGAGGGAGGGGGTGTATGTGAGGGGAGGGGGTGTATGTGAGGGAGGGGTGTATGTGAGGGAGGGGGTGTATGAGGGGAGGGGGTGTATGTGAGGGGAGGGGGTGTATGTGAGGGGAGGGGGTGTATGTGAGGGAGGGGTGTATGTGAGGGGTGGGGGTGTATGTGAGGGGAGGGGGTGTATGTGAGGGGTGGGGTGTATGTGGGGGGGGGGGTGTATGTGAGGGGTGGGGGTGTATGTGTGGGGGTGTATGTGTGGTGTATGTGTGGTGTATGTGGGGGTGAGAGAGGAGAGCAGCTCCAGTGTCGGGTGACCATATGTTGGATTGTCTGACAGTGTAACTCACCACAGTGGCGGAGTGCGGTCAGAGAGCCGTTGGTTCGTGTGTGATAACGGCCGCGTTTCTCTGAGCTCTTCGTGTCTCAGGTTCTTATTGTTCTCGTTCCGTTCGACGCTGAACTCGAGACGGAGCGAATGTGGCCCCAGAGACACCACACCTCCCTCTGTGGGGGTGTGTGGGGGTGTGGGGGGGAGGGGACGGCCGTCCCCCGCTAAACCGGGAACATACAGTCGCTCACTGTAGCGACAATGTCGGCGGCGGCTCCGAGTCCTTCAGCGGAGACTCGGCGAGTGGAGCGCGGATCAGCTGAGGCGCGTCTCCTGTCATCTGATAGAGCGGCGCCGCCAATAGCCGCGCGAGCAGCTGAGGCGCCACAGGCCGGGAAAGCTGCAAAACCCGACCCGGATCCCAGCAGCCGGGACCGGAGTCGGGCTGCACCGCCCAGGAATTCGGGTCTCGCTTCGACCGGAAAGCGGATCAGCTCATTGAGGTTTCAGCCCTTTCGGCAGACAGACGACAAATCATATCGGGCTACTTTTTTTTTTACAAATTGTAATCCGCCCACAAATACCGTCACTCCACGCCTAGCGTGGACCCGCCCAATCTGGCCACGCCGGCCACCGGTGACCACGGGGCTTCCCAGTTGTGACTGTTGGCCCGGCCTGGCCCGGCCTGGCCTGGCCCAGCCACCTGCACTCTCGCCTCCGAGCCCGATGATTGTGGGCTGAAAGCTCCCACGAGAGGAATTTGAGGTCACACAGTCTCGGCTGACGCTCCAGTGCAGTACTGGAGGGAGCGCTGTATTGTCGGAGGTGTGGTCCTTCAGATGAGACATTCAACCAAAGTCCTGTCTGTGCCTGTTCAGGTGGACGATAAAGATCTTGTAGAACTACTGAAAAAGGGAAGAGGGTTTCTCTCCTGGTAAACTGGACAACCATCCCCCTGATAAACTAACTTCATGTTTTTTGTGGAACATTGCTCTGTGCAAATTGGCTGCCACATTCACTCATAGAATACACAGTGACTACACTTTTCAGTATATCCTGTGACGTGCTTTGAGATGTCTTGATGATGTGATAAGGTGCTATATCAAATGCGTGGATTATTATTGTGATTATTAATACAATCTAATGGTGAATTGGCAAGCCTTGCTCCACTGAGTGAAATCAACTGGGAAATTGTGGAGTCCTGCAGCTCAGTGGTTAGAGCCTTACAAGCGAGAGGACCGGGTTCGATTCCTGGGCAGGGCGAAACGTTAGGCAAGTTTCCTTTCTCCACATGCCTCTGTTTACCTAGCAGTAAGTAGGAATCCAGTTGTTAGTCGATTGGCGGATCGCTTTTCCCGAAGTAATAATCCCTTCAAAATAAAAAAAAAAAAAAATAATAATAGTAATAATTTGGTTTCTCAATCCACAGCTGTTTGTGGAACACTGATGTGCCCAATTGGCTAGCACATTACACCCACCTAATATACAGTCAATTCACTTTGCATTATATTCTGTGAAGCACATTGAGACATCTCAAAGATGTGATAAGGTGCTATATCAAATGCAAGGATTATTATTATTATGGGTGATAATAATGATTAGTATTATTATTCCCAAGCCCTGCAGTCTAGCTTCTCCTCAGAGCTCAAGTGTTCCATGTGGGGAATTTTACCCCTTGGATTCTTGTAACCCTGCAAGCCAAACCCATAACTTTGAGACGTCTTGATGACTGATCAAAATACAATATAATTATTTATTATATTCAAAGGGCAATTTTGGGACAGACATCAGGATATCTCAGAGGGTCATTAATGACTGTAAACTGAGTTATCAGGAAGAGTGGTTTGGTTTTAATATCTTATTCAAAGGTTGGTATCACTAACAATGTGGGTTCAAGCCCTACATCTGGACCTGGAATGCACACAGTCCAGGTTGAACCCACAGAGACACCTTTCCCATTCACCGCAGAAAACACTATATTTTGTCCGCTCTCTGCACTCACCCGATGCCATTCGTTTCGTGTGAACTTTCTGACTCGGTGAGTTCCTGTCATCTCGGACTATATTTAGATCCTCATTCATTCTGATTGCGATTTAAATAGCCATGCAATCTCAGGCTCATGTTCTACTTCTGCTCTCCCGACGCAGCACTGTCCTTAACCATGGTTTTAGAAGGTAAAAAATAAAAATAAAAAATAATTGTCAAGAGGACATTGCCACTCTCAAGTCCTCAAAACGTCCCAAAGGGCTTCACAGGATACATTGTAAAGTGCAGTGACTATACTTTAAAAGCAAAGGTAGCATTGAATTTTGGCATAGCAACATCTCACAAACAACCATGAAGTGAGTGACCAATTTTATCTGGGGAATGTTGTCCAGGACACTGGGAGAGAGAGGGACTTCCTTCACTTTTTTCTTGAGAAATGCCATGGAATCTCATGCCATCTGTAGTCTAAATCCTTTGTGGCAACATTCTGCCCCCCCCCCCCCCCCCCCCCCCCACACACACACACAGACCCTACTGCTTCCACACACAAACACACACACTCACCACTGCCTCCACATACATAAAAAACACTCACACAAACCTACTACTCACTTACTCACATACTCACAGGTCATCATCAAGGGTTGGTCAGAAGTGAGTCACTTTCTTAAAAAAAAAACCATTTGATCCGAAGATAATGAAATAAAAAGCAAATGAAGGTTGTTGTCTGGAATGGGGTTGTGCCTGTCAGTTATTAATCTGGAATGACCTCAGATGGGGTGTGTAGAGTCCAACTGACTTCAGATCAGCTTTACTCTGCTCTCAACAGAAATCCTGACCTCATTCAGTGTGTCAGTCTGTGGCTCAGTCAGGAGCACTCTCTCCTCATAGTCAGAGGTTGTGGGCTCACAGCCTGGACTGACGCTCCTGTACAGTGCTGGGAGGAGAGTTGCATTGTCAGAGGTGCCAGCCTTCAGATGAGATGTTAAACCGAGATCCTGTCTGTGCTTGTTCAGGTGGATGTTAAAGATGCTGTGGCAATATTGGAAAAGAGGAGGGAGTTTCTCTCTTCCGATATCCTGGCCAACAATCCCCCAGATAAAATAGGTCATTCACTTTGTGGCTGTTTGTAGGACATTACTGTGCGTAAATTGGCTGCTGGGTTCGCCTACATAATACACAGTCACTACACTTACTGTAAACCTGGTGAAGCACTTTGAGATGTCTTCCCAACATGAAATCAAACACAATGATAATTAAAGGGGCAACTGCTTCCAAGTTCCTCAATTTGAGCTGTTGTCTTTCTCAACAAATTAAATTATATTTGCCAAATGCTCCTTTTGGGAGATCGTTGCTTTAAACATGCAAACTTGTGTTTCTTGCACATTGGCACGGTAACAGGATGCCCTTTAAAGCAAATAATGAGAGAGAGTGAGGGCACATGAGAGTCTGACAATCTGTTTGACATAAGGTTATTGTCAGGAAATTTGCAAGCAGAATAATAATAATCCTAACACTTGATATAGTGCCTTATCACGTCTTCAAAGTGCTTCACAGAATAAACTGTAAAGTGAATTGTATATTTTGTAGGCAAAACACAGCAGCCATTTGTACACAGCAGTGTCCCACATACAGTTATGGATTGACCAATTTATTTATTTATTTTAAGGAATTATTACCCCCAGGAAAGTAATCCGCCAATCGACTAACAACAGGATTCCTACTTAGTGCTAGGTAAACAGAGGCATGCGGAGTAAGGAAACTTGCCCAACGTTTTGCCCTGCTGGGAATCAAATCCCAGGCTGTCACATTCAAGGCAATGCTCTAACTACTGAGCTACAGGACTCCCCCTTTAGACTCCCCCTTTAAAAACAGAGCTGGTTTTGACTTCAGTGACATTTGCATTACCCTTTCTCTGGCACAGTTTCTCATCTTTCCTTTAGACAAGCTTCGTTCAGTGTCATGTAACTTGCCCCAAAACCACCTCAGAAAATTCACTCAGCTCCCATTAACCCTGAAAGCCAAACCCCTAATGGGTCTATTGGTCCCAGCTAAACAAGCAATGGGAAAGTTTGCCAGATAGTGCTCTCGATGACAAACTATGTGGTTTTAGCTGGCTAAACTCAAACGTACACTCAGGTCTCCAAGCCTTGGAATTCAGTAACATATTTCAAATGATAATCACAATAATAATTCTTGCATTCAGTGCACTTTGGGAGGATGATTTAATGTAAAGTGTAGCAACCATATCATTGTAGGCAAATGCGGCAGCTAATTTTCACACAATCAAAAAGAAATGACCAATTTTATCTGGGGGATTATTGGCCAAGACACTAGAAGAAACTTCCTTTTCCTTTCGAATAGTGAATTGCTTAGACTGTGAGCTCAAAGTCCCAATATGGAGAAGGGAGTTTGGATGAAAACTCCAGAGAAAAGTGAAAGCATAGACACAGCACTGAGAGCAATGGGCAACAATTTGGTGGTGTATTGTGGGCATTCCTGATCTCAGCTTGTAATGGTTAATTTATTTTCATGACCGTATGGTGAAGTAAGGACTGACACAAATGTACAATTAATCAAGGTTTATTAATTCAGATTAATAATGGTTACAAGTAATTAAAAGAATACATCCAATTATGCTTACGTATCCACATATGCTGTAGTTCAGAATGATCTAAGTTGACCAAACCAAATGCTGCGGGAGAGATAGAGGAGCAATGTCCACTTTAATGTCCCATTTGAATCCAAATATAAGTTCTCAAAAGGTATCCCAAGTATTGTACAGTTTTCAGTTCGGTATCACCCAAAAGTATCCAGGTTTTATTGTACATTTAGGGTTGTTTAAATCGTAGTCTTGATCTTCTTTCTTTAGAAGCTTGGATATGGTGTGCGACTACAAGTTCCAATTTCTTCCTTCTCTTTCCCTTTTAGAATCAATCTCAATTTATACTGTTTGATTAGATGTCTTTCACCTATTGTCTTTTGCAAGATGGTTCCTTTGTAAAAAGAAATGCAACACAGCTCTCTCCAGCTGCAGACCATTTTTCCATGAGAAAATGACTTGATAAGGAATGAAAACAGTTTGTTGTTTATAAACAGTCTTTTGCTTCTCCTACTTGAGCAAGGATCTTCTTTGAAGCTCGTCACAACCAGCTCCCCTCATATGAGCTTGACCATATGTTTCAAATATATAAACATTTAAATATACAATTTGAGATATTATTTAATACATTAATTGTGAAAATTCTGCAATCCGCCCTGAAGTGGGTTAAGGTTACAAACGTAAA